GCATCCCTCCCCGGAGGAGAACCCCCCGCTCCTGCCTCCCCCGCGGCCGAGCGGCGCCTTTGCCGAGCTCCAGCCCCTTTCCTAGTCGCCACCATGGCAGGCACCTGGGACACGGGCAGCCACAAACGGGTTCTCGTCGTTCGTTTAATCCAAGCCTCGACGACGATAGAGGGAATGGGACATGGGCACACTGAACTGCAAACTACGGAATCTAAAATGTGCTGGTTCTCCTCCGATGAGCTCGAGTTCGGAACGGAAACGGTGAAGAGAAAAAGAAAGAGAAACACCTTCCAAGAAAGCCACCTACTCCAAGGGGTCCCGGCAGGCAACTCCAGGAACGGGACGGGGAAGGGGAAACGAAGAGCCACAGAAACCTGACGGGAACTAACGCACAGAAGCCCCTCTTCTTCCCAGCCTCCCCCCGACCCCAACGAACAGAAATTAAACAAGGCACAGAATCTTCTGCAAATGACTTCACTAAACTAAATCCAAGCTGGACTTGGCCAAAAAAAGAAAACCCAAACAAACTGAGGTGTCGAACAGCAGAGTGTACTTTACGAGGAATATTTTTACACAGCGAATCCCGGACCCTCCCAGCCTCACCGCTCTCCACCCATTTGCTTTTTTTTTTCTCAAAAAAAAAAAAAAAAAAAAGACACAAGCTGGTTGCAACTTCCAATATCGCTGTCTCTTTAGCGTTTAAATAGGGCCAGTAGTAACCGTCCACGGTTGGACACCTCATAGAAACCAAGGCTGCTCTAGATGAAGTACTCTTTCTTTTCTTCGGAGTTGTTCTGTCCTCCTTCTGCATTGATGATGGCTGTGTCTGCGTCGGCCGCATCATCTGCTCCTTTGGCTTCGTGGGTGAAGTATGTACCTGCAAGGGAAGCGGCAGGTTGCGCGCCTCGCCGGAGGTCTCTGCAAGGTGCCGAGAGAGCCAGCGACGAAGCCGCGAGCGGAAAGGGGAACAAACACGTAAACCATGACTGTACCAGCACAAAAGCGCAGCGGCGGCCAGGAGCGGGGCCGATGTTGCCCGCGTGGAGCTCCCCGCTCCCGCTCCTCCAGGAGCGGCCGGGGGAAGACCCCTGGGGGCAACCACACTCCGGACACCCCCGTCCCCGCTCCGAAAGGCGACGGCGTGTCACTCTCTGCACTGTCTTACTCGGAAAAGCAATCAGGTCACAGCCATTTCCCCTTCTCAGAAGCACACAAATACCAGTAAAATTGCATTTTATATGCTTTACTTCAAGGAGAGAAATCTTTCATCTCCACTTTCTCTCTCCCCTAATGTGTTTTAGGGTTCTTTCCCCCCCCTTTTCTCTCTTCTCGGCATTATTCACTCCATCCCGGGTGCAGTCGTAACCAGCCTCATCCTCCGTCAGCTTTTCCACATACACTAAATAAACCGCAGTTGACATTAACTCCTTTCGCACAAACACGTATACGGGGGAAGGGTCTCAATTCTGTGTGCGGGTTTTGATTTGCTCTGGAAGGTGTAACAAGTTCCCAAACTGGACCGTTTTACACCAAACCAAGATAAGGTGGCACACACGTAGCAGCTCGGGTCAATGGGGTTTTCCGGAGGGACTGCCAAATTTCAGTTTTCACCTGCGTGCCGACGCGCGGGCGGCAAGCTCCGGGGACGAGCTGAGCTGGGGCAGCCCTGCGCATCGTTCCGCACGCTAATTATCTCGAACACCTGGGACTGGAACAGGAGGTACCACGGGCTCTTTGAGAAGAGCTCACAGTGCCCACATGTGAAATGCAGCTCCAAAAAGAGGATGCACCTTGTTTGTCCAGCGTCCTGCTGCTACCATGCCTGGGAGGGGACAGTGCCCCCCCGGCACCAGCACCCGCCAGCCCCAGCGCCGGCGTGCCGGGTAAAGGCAGTCCGGGGTAAACTGCTGTCCTCCCGCCCTCCGCCCCCGCTGCCCAGAACACGGATGGGCTGCTCCAGCCTTCCTCCTTTTCCCCATTTCCAAAGGCCCTCCAGGAGACGTCCTTCCAGAGCAACCCAGGGGGCCTCCCGCATCCCACCGGACACCGCGAGCAAGGGGGAACGCGCGCCACGTCCTCTCATTTTCCACTTTGGGTCTTTGTCTTACCTTTATGTCTGGCAAAATATCGCCCTAAAATGATGAGCAGGCAAAGCATCGCAAACACGACCACGGCCACGACGCCACCAACCACCGCATGGTCCACGCTCCGTATTGCCCCTTCCTCACCTGCACGAGAATCTGTTGAGATCAGAAGAGGAATAAGAATTTGGGACTTATTACGATGCACTCCGAAGGGTCTGGCTGCAGCCGCTCTCAGGATGGGAAAAGCCACCCTGGTGCTCTCAGGAGGAACAGGGGTGAAGCGCGGAGCTATCTAGACAGATGAGTTCGGGCAGGGGACCTTTGCCCAAAGCCGAACTGATCTGGCGGCTGGACTCGCGCGGTGTTCTCCGCTCTAAGCAGCAGCACTACAACTACGCAGGTGGAAGACAGCTGGGAGAGGGAGAGGAGAGGAGAGATGGAGTGGGCGGTGGGTGTGTATTTTGGCAAATTTCCCTGGAATGCTCCCCAAATTTCAACCTCCCCGGGGGACGGGGGCACAGGGAAAAGCAGCTTGATTCGGGAATAGTAATCGTTAGCTGGGGAGAAACATCATTAACAAGTGCCCTGCTGGAAACGTTCCACCTTCAGCCCAAAACCTCCTCGAGCGAAACCCAACCAACCCAGCATGGCAAACGCGCCTCCGACCATCGTCTCCCCCAGCCCAAGAAGATGATGTCGTGGAACACAACCTTTGCTCCTCGGTGCGGCTCCCGACGTCCGAAGACACGGAACTCCTAACTCAACCCGTGAGAGCCTCTTCAAAGGCAGAGAGCGAGCAATAACTGTACAGTGCCTCCACCTGCTTTATTTCATTTATTTAACTCCTCAGCACGCAATTAGTTTTCTTTTCTAAGCGCCTCTCCCTTAGGACGCCGTCACCTGGGAGAGGAATGCCTTCTCTGGCGGAGGAACAACTCCGCAACGAACCCCGAATGAGCTATGGCCATGTAAAATGAATGTATAGCAGTGTAAACAATTTTAATTTAGGAACGCAGCTACATCAACCCTCGCTGCAACCCTAATGGCAACCGAGATTTATAACGTAGTAAAAAACAATTATTCTCCCGTTGATTAATACATTAACATTTTGGAATAGAAGCTAAACCATTGTCTCTTTTTTTTATTGAGTCAAGCGCGACACCTCCATTAAAATGATTTACTGGCCGTACCTTACAATTTAAGCACAGCAGCAACAGAAACGGTAAAAATCTTTTAACTTTACATGATTTGTGAAGTCATATGTGAAGGATTTACCATTTAAATCTTTCACTACAAGAAGCACATGGCCTATAAATCTGTCCCGCATGCGGTCGCCCAGACACCTAAGAGAAATGCATTTTACCAGGAAGACTGAGAGTGCAAATGCAAGTCAATTTTTAAGAAAGATTTATCTCTGTCTCCCTCCACAGAACACAGCAAGTCTCTGAAGCCTCCACCTCTAATAATATTTGAAGTTTATCGATCAAGCGTACAGATCCGTGACAGCTAAAGGTAATGGTGCTCTTTTGAGCTGAAACCTGATACAAAGCTTTCCAGCTGCAGCCCGGGATTTACGCCTTCTATCGAGATTTCCAATTCTGCTCCGAGATTAAGGACTGAGGGACCTAGGTAAGTACCTCGTGACTGAGAGCGCCATAAAGCGCCTTTTAATTAAAACAATTTAAGAAAAAAACACCTGCCCAGCCTTTTTTCCAGTCACTTCCGAAGAGCAGCTCGGGCGCGGGCAGCGGGATGGACGGGGCCAGGCGGCCGGTCGGGGACACACACCGCGCATCCCGCAGGACCCTTGTCGGCAGCTCATCCGGCAGGCTAAAACCTGCGGCAGAAACGAATTCCAAAAGCATTCGCTGCCAAATAACGTCATCCCCAGTGCCTTCCCTGGGGGCAGGGTGTGCCGGAGGAATCCCAGAGCGCGTTACAGGGAGGCACTTTGTGTCCGGTCTCCCGCAGACCCCTCGCCAGGGCGAAGGCTCTGCCGCCTGCCCGGGACGGCAGCTGGGGAAACTGGGCAACGCTGGCCGTCCCGGGAGGCTGCTGCCCAAGCACAGCCCTCTCACGGCGGCCGTCAGCTCGCCTAATCCGGGCCTTTACACACTTGCTCTGCGCAAAGCAACCGGAGCAACAGAGCACATCCGCTGCAGCTGCTGCGTTAGGCAAGATCCACTCCAGGTTTTTTAATTTTTTTTTTTTTTTTTTTTTTTCCCCAGAAACTTAGCACCCAGTTCCGCCCGGCTGCACTAAGGAGGAGGCAGCAGCATCCCGGCCTGGGAGGATGAATGTCTCGCTGACATCTGGAACAGCTGAGGAGAATAAACACGCCGAGTTACGGCTCTATAATGTGCTTGGAGCAGGATTTTGCATCAAGAGGCATTTTCTCTTAATCACCATAAATTAAAGCTCTGGAAAGACGAGGCCTGACCGGGGGTCGGTGCGCCAAAGCCTCGCGCCCCTCACTTCCCTCCCGGCGTCCCCGCAATGGGTGGCCAACGAGAGCAGGGAGACAGCCTTTCCCTGAGAAGGGACTTCTGCGTAGAGCGTGGCAAAGAGGACAGCTTATTCAGTACGACTGCGTCTACTGGGACAGGCAGGGTCATTGTTCTTGATTATTTCTGTTAACGAAGACCTCTGCGAAGCGCCAGACACAAGTGTAGTTTATTATGTGTGTGGCTAAATAGTTCCTCCGCCAGCTTACACGCTCCCTAAAGATTAAGTATCTTCTGAGGATGCCTCGTGGTTGCGAACCATCTAACACGAAGTCTGCGAGGCAGCCACAGCGCACCCCCAACTTACACGGTGCTCTGTTTCCGTGCGATTAGCCGGTGACGGGAACGGCTCTGGTGGTCCCCGTGCAGCTGGGCGGGACGTGCGTCCCCGGCAGAGCCACCCGCATTAGCAGTGACGGCGGCACTACCCACCGGGAGGCCGATTCCCACGCCTGCTCTCACTCATCCCTGTTCCCGACCCAGCGGTGACGCTGGCGGAAGGTCTCTCTTCCAAACAAGATGCCACAATTAGAGCATTAAAACACTTATCGGAATAAAATCTGCCTCGTGTCTTTGCCACGTTGCAGCGATTTGCTCCCCAAAGATAAACTACTGCCCACTTCAAAGAAAAAGTCAAATTTTTAAAAATTTTTCAGACCCATCACATAGTTTTTCTTCTTTTTAAACAGGGAAGTAAAGCTGAGCCACCACGAAGGCCAGGGACCGCCACCCCCACCGCAAAGCCGGCGATGCCCACGGCACCGCCAACACTGCTGTCATACTCCAACTCCTAAATCAAACTCTCCAGTGACGGACTTTCCCTGCGCAACCTATTCCGGCCTGATGCCGTTCCCTCTGCTACGCACTCCTCCTTCGAGAGCTCCTCTCCACCTCAGCTTTGCCATCTCCTCAAAGCCCGGGTGCTCCGAAGCAGGTCCCCGCTGTGCCGCCGGCGCGGAGGGCCAGGCAGAGCCAGGGCTGCCCCCCACAGCCCCCGCCAGCTCCGGACACCGCTCCGCGCCGGTCGCTCTGTGCCCCACCAGCACGAGAGCGGCGCCCTCATTTTCTCTCGCTCGGCACTTCTTTGGCAATAAAAAAACAAGTGTCGGGTCTACGAAGCAAGGAGTAATTCCCCAAGTTTGTGCCGAGAAAGAGAGCCTTGACCTTAAAAACCGTATTCCGCTTCAAAATGCTGTCTCTGACTGACAAAAGCTATTCCCGCTTCATATCTATGATTAAAAAAGAAATCACAACTTTATTACTGAAGAGGGAACAGACGAGATGGCAGGAGCTGACAAAATGCCACATTATTTGCTAATCCTAATATGTTATTCTTCCTTAAGATTTGCTTTTCTCAGCACCAATTCAATTATAGATGCTACAAATCCTTCTGACATTTAATTCCCTCTTGTCAGAGAGTAGTAAATGTATACATGCAGAGCTTCCCCATTAAGATGTTAATATATATTGGAGCACGCTGGCCTTTAAATCCAATAGGCAGAATTTTTCTGTTGCGGTTCTGTTTCTGGTGTGCTGCTGGTTTTTTTGCTGGCGGGAGCAGGGGGCCCCGGTGGGGACCCCGCCGCATGTTGCCGGCAACATGCGCGCCCACGGGGCCGCTCTGCCGCGGCTGCGCGCCCCGGCGGCACCCCGAGGGGCAGGCTGGTGCTTTGCCTGGTACCAAAGCACCCGAAAGGAAAACTGCAGCGATAACGGTACAATCCAGTGCCAATACCCGCAGGGATGCAGAAAACAAAATACTGTTTTTTCTTTTAAACTGCTGCGCTGCCTCCCCCGCGAGAACAGCTGGGCTGTGCCCTGCGTTAGAGGGACATGGCCATTCGCTCCGATGCAGCTCTGAGCCCATCGGCCAGAGGGGCAGCTCCACAGACAGCGGCAGAGAGCGCTGCCGTCCCGTTCCAAGTGGTGGCCAACGACAGACTTTGGTAGCTTTAAACTGGGGTTTGCTTATTATTGTAGTCAACTGCTCACGTCATCGACAACAAAGAGATTGTACCACTCGAGCGCTGAAGTTTTCCTTTACACACAAAGTGCGACTCATGAAAGGGTAGGCAGACAGAAGGGAAAGGCAGTTGTGACTGGTTCCTCCTCGTCACCACACCAACCCCACTTATTCTGGGAGTCCGGGCGACCCGAAGGGACGGTTAGCTGGTTATCGTCCCTGGAAGTATTCCCAACTAACAGCTGCCTTTTAAACCTCCCGGTTCTTAGCTGTGGGTTCTTTTTTTGGGGGGGAGACACCTTTTTAGAAATAAATGTATTAATGATCTCAACTTTTCCAACATTTTTGCCATTGTAATTGCTTAAAAATAGCTTTCTGTGGACCGCCTCGAGAGCATGCGAAAAGCTGGCAGATTCTAACAGCGACATCCCAACAACGTGGGTCGAGTGCTTACAGCAAGGTTTAGCAGATGGAGGACTTTTCTCCTCCCAGCTACTCAATAAAAAGGTTCCATTCCATTCTCTTTTTAATGAGGCTTTAAAATATATATCTATATGTACGTATCTACGCATATCCTAATTCCACTCTTTTTGTAAGCGGCAGCTACTCAAGCTTAAGCCTAGATTGGACCCGGCTGACTGCACGAGCTGGTATTTTAAATCTCAATTATACCCACCCTAAACGCTGCAGACCTATTAGGGGCAAACCACTTTATTTTTAGCTTCAGCGCTCCCCGCATTTTTGGAGGCGGGCGCCGCGAAGCGCAAACCCCCAGGTTTGGGGTCTCCTTCGCGAAGGGAGCATCCGCGCCTGCCCGCAGGCACCGGCTCCTTCCCAGCCCGCAGCCGGGGCTGAGCCCGGCACGCAGCACCGTTCCCGGGGTCACTGCGGCTTCCGACAGCGCCCCTCACCGCCTGCCCTGGGGGGCTCCGGCGCCCCTTCCCACCGAGGCTCTCCGTGCCCCGGTAGCAGCGCCGGGAAGGCAGCGCAGCCCCCGCAGACGTGGTGTGCCCCGCCGTCACTCTGGATGGCGCCCGTGCGGCTCGG